GATTGGAATATTCAATTGTATATTTAAATTGTGTGTCAATAAAACTGATGGGGGGAAAAAAAGAGTTACAGTCTCAGATATTCACGTGGGTAGTTCTACCTTATTCTGTAAGGTCGTTATGAGCTGCCATCAACTCCGTGGCAGGGCGCTTGGTTTGCATATCTGACACCAGGGGATGAGTCTTGACGCTCAGGCTGGGTTTCTAGAGCCTATTTCAATTGAGTACCAGTCTAATTGGGTCCATGTGGTCCTTACTCTGAGGAAATGGACACCTTTTTTTTGGTCAAGTCTGTGTGCGCCCTGCCCTCTAGTGGTCAGCGCCTTCACTACAGCAGTGACATTGAATGTACCTAGCTTCCCTCTCTTCCCCTCCCTTGAAGACAGGCCTTTCTACTCCCATAAACAATGACGGTCTTCCCACTGTCCCTGTGCCCCACCCTGAGGGGGAGAGCTTGGAACAGGGCACCTGACACCCTGAGAGCTGGCAGAGAGGACAGTTACCCCAGATCACTTCCCTGGGGACCCCGAGGGTTCGTTTCCCATCCACTGATCTGAGGACCCCTGGTGGCAAAGTGGTTCCCTGTAGGGCTGTGATAAGCAAGGTTCTCAGTTTGAAACCACCAGCCGTTCTGTGGGAGAAAGATGGGCTTTCTCCTCGGAAACTCCTGGGGGCAGTTCTACCCTGCCCTATAGGGTCACTGTCACTTGGAATCAACTCAATGGCAATTGAGTTTGGTTTTGAGTTTTGAATGGAATATCTTGCAATGCTGGCTACTGATACACCCACCCACCGGCCACCAGCCCTAGAACACTGTTTTTCGAATGGTATGGTGTATTTCAGATCCAGTAGTCTAGGGTGAGACCCAGGAATCTGATGTAGACAACCTACAGGCGGTATCTGGAGTACAGCCTGTAGCAGCTCTCTTAATGTCCCTTGCCCTCCTGCAAAGGCTTCTGGGTGATGCAAACAGAAAGGCCTGGTAAACTGCTCTTCTAAGGGTGGGGGTGGTCATCATTGGGGGTTGTTGAGTTGATGCTGGTTCACAGGGACCCCGTCATAGAGCAGCACTGCTCCGCCAGGCTTTCTTGCCTGTCAACTGACAGACACGGATGGCCAGGCCTTTCTCTTGCGAAATGACTGGCTGCAGCCCTCATTTCCACTAGCCATGGCTTTACCTGTTCTCTCCCTACACAGAGCTCCCCCTGGAATTTCACATACGCACCCTTAGGCTTTGGGGAATCTGGGACCAAATTAGCAATGCCCCCTTTGTTGCCAACCTCCATATTGGGTTTCCTGGAGGTCATAGCTTGGTCATAGACAGGGAAGGTGGCTGCAGCTGCTCCGGCAGTCAGCCCATGCTGAGTGAGGTCAGCTCTTGCTGATTGGGCAGGGGCAGAAGGAAAGGAGGCTAGCACTTGCTGTGCCATGTGGACCCGGGGAGCAAGTGTGGTGCTGGGGATGTTCACACATAAGCCCTTCTCATCCTTACAGCAGATGGTGAAGGTATTATGCGTTATTATAAATGAGGACATGTAGGCCAAGAGGGGTTAACTATCTTTTTTTTTT